TGGTGCTGGTGGTGGTGCTGCTGCTGCCGCCGCCGCCGGTGCTGGTGGTGGTGTTGGTGGTCGTCGTCGTCGTCGTCGCGGGAGCGGTTGTGGCCGTCGTGCAGGCAGCGGTGGCTACTGCCGGTAGCGGTGGCTACTGTGGAATTGTTGCCTTAGTCCTCCTAAAACACTGCAGCCTCAATCCCCCACCCAGAACAACAGTCAAGTAAAATGCATTGCAGCAACTTGATTTGAGATGGTGCTTCGCAGATTTTTTTGGAGGCATATCATTCAGGGGTCACTACTTACTACTCCCCTACCATCGCTGAAATGGTTGTTGCAGAAGCTTCTGAAGTACCTCCCCAAACCAAATTCACCCATATGCCATCGTGTTGAAATCGATCCCCATGGTCTTGTGCCCCATGTCTGGTCCCTAAACCCTGAATTCTATATAAACCATAACTTACTGCCGGTTGGAAGGGCATAGGGGAATGGAATCCCCATGCAATGTATTCCCATCCTAACCTCCAGAAAGGCTGAGCCCTAGACCTTATACCCTTAAACCATGTGGGTGGTTGTCAAAGTTTTGGCCCCTTTTTGGATCCCTATTATAATACGGCACCTGATATTTAGGGTACCCAAAAAGGGACCATAATTTTGACAACCACCCATGTGGTCCGGAAATCTCTCAGGTTGTGGCGAACTGACGAGGGGCCACTTTTGAAGCGGCTCACGCAGGTCAGCCTCAAGCCACACAAAGCCTCTTAGTGAGGACTTCGGATCCCTTCAAAGGGCATCTAGGGAATATACAGGGATATAGAAGGGAGTATATCATGAATGAGCTATATGTATATACATATATAGATACTATATATATATATACATATATTATATGTATGTATATATATGTATATATTCGGGGGACTTGGGGATACTTCCTTTTAGGAAGGCCAGAACTCCTTCCTTTTCTTCGGTCCCTTAGACTAGATGCATGGCACAGCAGTGGAAGCGGGGTTTAGAGTTTAGGGGTTTAGGGCCTAGGGTTTGGGGTTTAGGGTTTGGGGTTTAGGGTCTAGGGTTTAGCGTTTATACAAATTGAAAAAGGGTTCTAGTCGCGAGTTTTGACCGACTGTTGGG